GCCTCCTCGTCAAGCGGCCTGACCAGTACAGGCCGTAGTTTGGCATCGCTTGGTATCTCTTGGAAGCGAGGGTGCTCAAAAGCGAGGTAGGTTTGTTTGCCCCCTATATAAAGCTTTCTAAGCCTTCCCCGAGGGACACAGAGAACATCTCAGAGAGCCGGAGGCCTTCCGAGAAGCCCCGCCGCCTTCTGAGAAAGCCTCCTCCTTCTCACTCCCCCCCCCCCGCTCGCCGCCGATGGAGGCATCCGGCACCCTGAGCTCGGGAGCGGCCAAGAGGGGGGTGTCCAAGAGGGGGGGGGGGGTGCAAATCATGGCCGGCGGCATGTGCGCGGCCCAGGGCGGGGGGGCCGGGGACGTGATGAGATAAGAGGAGGCGCCACGAAATCCGGGGAGATAGCATGGCCCCCGCCATGATCTCCCCCCCCCCCCTAGTCATGACCCCCCTCTTTGCCCCGGTGAGCCCCCCCCCTTCGGCCTCTCGAGGCCCCTCTCGGGCCGGGGCTCCCGCGAGGCGCTCGGCGACGAGGCGCCCGACGGGGCCCCCCGCCGCACCCTCGGGGCAGGGGCCGCCCGTGGGGCCCGGCAGGCCCGTCCAGAGCATACAGTCGGGGCGTTGACCTAAGGACCCCTAAATAAGGAACGAGGCCCCTGTTTTCCATAAGTTAAACTTCGATTTCCGATCGAAATCATAAGGAAAACCTGAGGCAAGCTGCGAAACACTTAAGGAACGCGGAGCCCCTCCCCAACGAGAAGCGTTCCTTCTTCAGGGCCCCGACTGTACGCCCGGCGGCCGCCGCTTGTCCAGTGTACGGTTGGACTTCATTCTAAGCATTTTATTAGGGTGGAGGGCTCAGGGTGAAATCCAGATGGGCTTTTGCACCTCGAGAACCAATCCGTCTTGTGATTCACCGCCTGCTGATTGAAGCCTCGAACATCTGTCGAAACGGCACTTCAGATTTCACCCTTTGCCCTCCACCCAAAGAGAATGCTGGGTTCATTGGACAGGACACGCGAGAGGACACGAGACCCTTCCGAGGGTCACGTTGCCATAGGAATGCAGGAGGCACGGGTCGCGAGACACAAGACACAAGGGTACCCTTGATTTGGCAGGGTCGACCTACTAATCTGGGCCGACTGTAGCGTTTTTTTATCGCTTCCAGCCTGTCAAGAGTCCAAACGAGAAAACGCAACAAAAAACGCCCATGGCTCTTTTAAGATCAGCCAGGGCGACGGGCCCCGCCACTCCTCGGGGCATGGACAGCCCGTCGGGCCCGCACCCGTCTGAAGCACGCCGAACAGTCGCCGCTTTTCCAGCGTACTTGACATTGCCCCCGCCCCTCCCCGCACTCGCCCATAGCCTAGAAGCAACAAGGACCGCACGAACAGAACCTTTCGGAGGTCCGCGGAGGGGGTTCCTTGGATCGGCGCTGGGCCCCCCAGTTTCTGACGCGCGGAGCGCGCCATGGGGCGGGACCAGAGGCGCCGCCAGGGGGGCCCAGCGCCGACCCGAGAAATCGGCGCTGAGCGGCGAAAACTTCTGCTCACGCCGTTTTCTCCTCTTCGACCTGGAGAAGCGCAAAAACAACCGTATACCGCTACTCTGCGGACCTCTCCTGGGGTGCCTTCTGACCAGAACTTCGAGTAGAATCCAGCCGTCGAGCAGCGGCATCGGTACGTTTCCTTCCTCTGACGACCCTTGCTGCCCATCAGCTGCTGCGCACCCGCTCCTTGGCGGGGGCCAGCCGCCGGGGCTCACTTGCGGCCCGGCTCCCCCGCGCCCTTGCTCGATGAGCAGCCGCAGGGGCCGCACCAGCCCTTCTGCTCCGGCCCCGGCTCTCCCGCGGGCCGCCCCGTCTTGTGGACCTCGTCCTTCTCCTGCTGCGACCTGCGCTCCTCCTCCTGGAGGGCAGGCCCGAGGCCCTCGGGATGCTGGTGCCCAGGGCCCAGGGGGGAGCCGCAGCGGACGACGGAACGACCACGGCGGACATCAAAGACTCCTGGACGAGCGGGGGGCGTGCTCGGTCCTTCCGAGCTTGGGACCTGGGGGCGGTGGGGCCCGTCTCGGGCCTTGGGGCTCGTGGGGGGGGGGGAGGGGGGCCCGTCTCGGGCCTCGGGGCTCGTCGCAGCACAGAGCTCCCTCTCTCCAACTGCAGACCCGCCTCCCGTCGGGCATCGCGCCGGCGGGGAGCTCCGTACCCCCACGACGCTGGGCGGGGAGCCTGCGCGTGGCAGGGGATGGACACGGGGCCTGCCCCGTAGAGCGGCCCGAAGGCCTCTCGCCCCTCGAACAAGCAGGGCAAGCGGTTGGGTCAGCGAGACGCCCCAGACCTCCGATGCCATGTTCCCCAGCAGCGATTGCACTCGGGGCTTCCTGCTTGGGTTCGCTGCTGTTGGCAGGCGCTTCCCATTTATTCTCGCCAAGCCGCCGCCCGTGGCCACACGGCGGACCCGACGGCGCCCCGTGCGCTGGCATGCGCTTCCGGGCTCTCGCCCCGGTCGACACCCGGGGCGTCTCGTGGGCGCCGTCGCGCGCTTCCGGTTGTTCGCCTGGTCGCCGCCCATCTGGTCTTCCGTGGGCGCCCCGTGGGCACTTCGTGTGCCGGCTGCACTGCGCAGCTCGCACCACACGGCCTGCGCAGCACGGCCTGCAGGCTGTGCCACACGCGTAGCCTGCACCACACAGCTTGCACTACACGAGTGTGTGTGGGCTGGGGCTGGCTCCGCCCTCCTCCTCCTCCTCCTCCCCCTCCTCCTCCCCCCTCCCTCCTCCTCCTCCTCCTCCTCCTCTCCTCCTCCTCCTCCCCCTCCTCCTCCCCCTCCTCCTCCCCCTCCTCCTCCCCCTCCTCCTCCCCCTCCTCCTGCTCCTCCTCCTCCAGGGCCAGGCCCGAGGCCAGGGCTGGGGCCGTGGCTGGAACCTGGGCAGGGGCCGGGGCCGGAACTTCCAAGCCCAACGACCCACCAACGAGCCAACCCGGCAGGGAGCTAGCCCGCCAACAAGCTCGACAGACGGACACGACGCAGCCATGCCATTCAGCACATGCTGCCTGAGGCGATTGCCAACACCCTCCTTCCCCTCCTCCTCCTCCTGCTCCTCCTTTTCCCTCTCCTCCTCCTCTCTCCTCTCCTCCTCCTCCTCCTTCCCGCCTCCTCCTCCTCCTCTCTCCGTCTCCTCGTCTCCGTCTCCGTCTCCGTCTCCGTCTCCGGTCTCGTCTCCGTCTCCGTCTCCGTCTCCGTCTCCGTCTCCGTCTCGTCCGTCTCCGTCTCCGTCTCCGTCTCCGTCTCCTCCTCTCCTCCTCCTCCTCCTCCTCCCTCCTTCCTCCTCCATCATCATCATCATCATCATCATCCTCATCCTCATCCTTCTCCATCCTCCTCATCCTCTCCTCATCCTCATCCTCATCCTCATCCTCATCCTCATCCTCATCCTCATCCTCATCCTCATCCTCATCCTCATCCTCATCCTCATCCTCATCCTCATCATCATCATCATCATCATCATCATCATCATCATCATCATCATCATCATCATCATCATCATCATCATCATCATCCTCACCCCTCATCCTTCTTCCTGCCTCCTCGAGGTCAGGAGGAGGAGGAGTGAGGAGGAGGAGGAGGAGGAGGAGGAGAAGAGGAAAAGGAGGAGAGAAGGAGGAGAGAGGAGGACAAAGAGGAGGAGGGGAAGGAGGAGGTACAGCGTCACCGAAGGAGGGGGAGGAGCAGGAGGGGGAGGAGGACGAGAAAGAGGAGGATTATGAAACCCTGTACGAGAGCCATCCAATCCTCGCGCGCCAGCTTGTAGGCGCGCCTGTGGTCGTCGTACTTGCACTTGTTCCCGGCGCTCCCGCCGCTCTTGGTGCTCCTAGCGCTCACTGGCGCCGCCTCGGCTGCCTCGAGCGCCTTCTCTTGCTCCTGCCCGACCAGCCACGACATTATCACCCGATGTTTTTTTGTATCCTTCTCTTTGGTGGCATACCTACAGATGTATGAAACAAATCAAAAATAATGTCGACCCCCAAAGGTCTCGACCCCTTCCACGGACCGGTTTTCTTCTCGAGTCATTTGTTTACGGTCCCAGGGCCCGGCGAAAGCTCCCAAAGACAGGACAAGGCCCAAACCTCACGTCGTGACGTCTCACAACGAGAGCAGGTGGGGGTGTGTTCCTTAACCAGGTGGGGGCGTCTTCCTTACTCCCTTGCGCAATCCATCGCGAAGCCGATGGGCCCTTCCCTGGTGACGCAAGGACCACGGCTCCGCCACTTGTGGACAGGCCTGCTTTCGGCGCTGCCCCCCCGCCCTCCTGACAGAATCTCTTCGGGAATGATGCGCGCTCAGTGCCGAAAATCAGCGCTCTCCTCGAGACGGTCTCGCCGAAGATAGGGAGCCCCCCAAACACGTACTCGCCCAACCATGTACATGAATGCAGCCCCCCAGTCCGCGAAGCCAGCCTCGTCTTACGAACGTTCGCGCAACGCGTGCTCTCGAAGCCCACGAGGTCATGTACACATCCGCCCTTTTTCCGCCGACGTCCTGAGCACTGCCAGCACGTGAGGGCTCAGGAGCTCAAGGCTTTCGCCGCGGTCCGCTATCTGATGCCGAACTTGGGGAAACTGGCCGTCGTGATGCCCACAAGCAGAAGCAAACGTGTAAACATGAGCTGTCCGAGATCAGCGCGGACTTCTCGGATCGGCGCCAAGGGCGGCGGCGGGAGGCGCCGCCATGGGCCGAGGGGATCCATCTGCCGTCGCCGATGCATCTGCGATGCGTTGTGATCCTCCGACCCCCGGGGGACTCGGACCCCACTTGGGCGGCCTGCATGGGGGGCCCCCGAACGTGCAGTGACAGACAGAGCGGCCACCTCCGAATCCCAAGAGACCTCACCGCACGGCCCGTCACCGCACTGCTTTGGGGCCTTGGAGGCCCCCGTCGCCCGAGACGTGCTCAGAGAACTGCCCGAGTCCCCAATCCGTCGTGCGGCCACCCCCTTGCTCCCTCTGGCTCGCTGGACTCCCGACTCCCCAACCTGGGGAGCCCACAAAGGACGAACGCGCCCAACCACGGACATGAACACGGCTCTCCAGTCCGCGAGACCAGCTGCATGATACGAACGTTCGCGCACTGCGTGCTCTCGAAACCCACGTGGATTCATGTGAGTGTACGTCCTGCTCTTCGCTCCTGACAATCTGCCCCCCCCCCCCCCTCGTGCGACCCGATGGATGTCAGCCGCCGAGGGGGCCAGTGCCCAGCCCGCCGCCCCGCCTCCAGCAGTCTCTGCGCCAGCGCCGCCGCCTCCGCGCGGCGGTGGCGGCGGCGGTGGCGCCAGCAGCCGGCGGCGCGCCCACGGGGGAGAGCAGAGGAAGCTCAGAAGCCAGAGGGACAGATTCCGATTCTGCTACAGGGCAGTTTTTAATACATCGGATTTCAAACAACATGGGATTTTTTTTCAATACATGACTAATTTATGAATAAATTTACGCTTGAACTCATCGTTGTTTTTAATACTCAATCCCTGCATTTCTGATACATGATCCGCACGCGGAGCATGTACTAAAAACGGCACTGTACTATTCTTTCGTCTCCAAGGCCGGATTCGCCGCGGCATTCTTGACAGATCGCATCCCTGGGGACGTCCAGGAAGTACCGGTGCCCCAGGAGGCCAGCCTTCTCGTGAGGCTCGGAAGGCCTCCGGCCTTCCGAGGTGCTGTCGAAGCCTTGATCGAAATTAAGGAGGGCTTCTCCAGTCGGAGGGCGTCTGAGACACTCCGCCGCTCTCTGAGAAGGCTTGGCCCCCTCTCGCTTCCCCCCTCGGCGCGCCGCCGAAACAACGGCAACGTCGACGCAGGCGTCGGCGACATCGACGAAGGCGGCGTCGACGAAGGCGTCGGCGCCGTCGACGAAGGCGCCGTCGACATCGACGACGGCGATTTCTGAGAATGATCAGGGGGCGCCTCAACTCAGAGTACTAGGCCCGAGGAGCTGGCCCACCGATGCGCGGCGGCCAGGCCACAATCGGATTCGGCCGGGTTGCCAGCACGCTGGCGACGACGGCAGCACCGTCGACGGCGGCGGCGGCGGCGTCGACGACGACGGCGACGACGACGATTCCGAAAGCGACGACGACGGCCCAAGCGACGGCGACGACGCCTCCGCGCGGGCTTTCTGCTCGGCCTCCTCGCGGGCCCGGCTCTCCGCCTCCGCGCGGGCCATCTGTTCCAGCTCCTCCGGGAGGTGGGCGAGGGCGGGGGCTCACGCGGCCCAGGATCCGAGGTGGGGATTCATCCATAGGGGAACAAAAAGTGGCATAAACATAAAAACTCGGAGGTCCGCGCGGACCTCAGAATTTTATGTTTGTGACTTTTTGTTCCCCTAATCCATGACTGTAGCCTGGGGGATCGGCTTTCGGGGATCTGGGCAGGCGGTGGAACTGGAGGATTTGGCCGCACTGGGGCCGAAATGGATCCACATCCACCGCCTGCTGGGGTCCCAGGGCGTCGGCTCCCAGGCGAGCCGGTGGAGACGGACAGCTCCCTTCCTCGCACAGGAGCGCGAAGCCGGCTGAGAGCACGAGGCGCGGACGAGACGAGACGGGAGTCCTCAGCCCTGGGGTCGGCCCGCCGCGGATCAAGATTAGACCTCGCCATCCCTGGGGGGCTGCGACCTGTGAAGCTGGCGCCACGTTCGAGGGCGGCTGGATGGTCCAGCGGCATGACGCCCCGCCGCGGATTCAGATTAGGAGGGCGCGCCGCTGGATGCCCCAGAGGCGGGGGCTCTGGGACGGAAATGGGACACTTTACAACCATACTTGAATACTAATTCCAATCTCTTTGGTACTCATGCCAACCACTTTATAGGAATACTAACCTACACGAGAAGCCTCACAGACGTCTTACAAGCGTCTTACAGGCTTCACACGGGCGTATCTCAAAGGCGTCTTTGAGAGACGCCTTACAGGCGTCTCTGAGAAACGTCTCTGAGAGGCGTCTTACAGGCGGCTCTGCGAGGTGTCTTTCAAGCGTCTCTGAGAAGCGTCTTACAGGCGGCTCTGAGAGGAGTCTTACAGGCGTCTATAGAGTCGTCTTACAAGCGTCCGTCCTCCTCCTGCCGCTCCTCCTCCGTCGTTTCTCGAGCCCTCCTCCTCCTCCTCATCCGGCCGTGCCCCGTGGCTCCCACATCCGAGGGTGGTCGTCGAGGGCATTGGCAGGCGGCGCCGTCGCCGAAGCCCTTAAGCCCTCAAACCCTTAAGCCCCTAAACTCTTAAGATCCTAAATCCTTAAACCCTTAAGCCCTTAAGCCCTTGAACAATGAAACAATTAGGTAAACTCTTAAGCCCTCAATCCCTTAAATCCTTAAGCCCTGAAGCCCTTACATCCTTACACACTTAAATCCTTAACTCTTTGGACCCTGGAACCCTTAAACATTTAAGCCGCTAAAGCATTTAATCCCTTAACTCTTTTAGCCCTTGCAATAAAATCCGCAGCTGACCTTAACCCCGTAAACCTT